AGGAGGAGGCCCGCGAGCAGGGTCGCCATCGAGACGGCCGGGCTGCGTTTCCAGGCGAGCGGCTCGGAGCTCTTATTTATGAGGATGATGACGAGCGTCAGTGGGGAGCGGTGGCGGGAGACGCGGACAGGCCGGGACGCGGGGCCGGGTGGGCTCCCCGCTGCTGGGGAGGAGCGCAGGGCACCTGAGAGCCACCACAGCCAGAGCTCCTTGTCCCCAAGGCCACCAGCAGCAGAGGCAGCCGGGTGCAGAGCGCGCTGGTCGTTCAGAACTGCCCTGAGCAGCACGAGGGTGACGCTGGTCGCTGCTGCACGGCCGCGTTGTCAATATTTGTGTCACGGGGCTCTGGGCTGGCAGCAGGAGACGCCAGCAGGGAGGTTAGGACATCCCTGGAGTGCTGACGACGTCTTCCAGAGGCTTCAAAGCCAGCGCATGGGCCCGAACATCTCCTTGCGAAGCCCTACGGGGTGGCAGTGCTTGTCACCCATCCTCTCCGTGCAAATCCCGCCTTCAGTTTTGCACGGAAGCTCATGGATCCCGAGGATGCAGCAGTGCCGCAGCCACAGACTGGCACGCTGCAGCTGCTCCACATCGGATATGTCCCTGGGTTGGTCAGAGCTCAGGTTTTCTCCTCCTTGGGACTCGGCTCCATCCCGCTCCGGGGCCGCATGGCTCCCAGAGGATGGGATCCCACTGACCTACCACCTTTCAGGAGCTCTGTGCACAAGGCAGCTCCGCAGGCCGGCTCATCCTCACAACACCCCCGTTTGCAGGCTCACAGCCAGGGGAACCGCAGCAAAGCACTGATTCTGTCAGAGTCACAGCGGGAACTGGTGACAAATCGCCGTCCATCGCATTTAGCTTCTCTGTGGTGGCGCCAGCAGAACCAGTAGCTCAGGCTGAGGAAGGCAGCCCAGCACCGAGAAGGGCTGTGATGCTCCTGCTGGCACTAGATGCTGCTACAGAGCAGCCCTACTCTAATTATAGTAACAGTGTCGCTGCTGTACAGTGAGAAAAACACGCACTTCAAAAGGTTTCTAACAATGTCATTTGCTTCGGGGAAAGCTCACGACAGAAAAACAGAAGGAAATCCTTTAAAAGAAGTCGCTTGCAGTCACCTGACCTTCTTAAATTGAGCTCAAGCTGTAGCAGCAAGGGGAGTGCTGGATGGGGAGACAAGCAGCGGATTCCCCATGTAAAACTGCCTTTCTGCTCACGGGGCTTGAAACTAGTTTAGCTTGAAATGGTGACATTTGGTGGATCTGTGTTTAATCTAAATATAGCCCATGAAAAGCTAAGCCGATACAGAAGGACTCTAGCCCTCAGATTAGGGAGGGAGTTGGGCGGGTACAGTGTGTATATATATAAATATACATGATGTTACCTCCCTCATCCACGTCTGCTCAAATATCATCTCATTTCTCTGCCTTCTGACCAGGGATAGGTCTAACCAGGCCAGTCCTTTTGCAGCTATTACTGTTCATTTAAGTGGTCAGAAACATGTCTGATAAATGTCAGGCAACAGCACCTGCAGCTCGGTTAAGGGAAACACATACAGGAGTGAAAAAGCTGCTAGTCCATCTCACTGCAAACAAATCTTGTCCCAGCAGCAGGGAGAGCCATCGAATCATGGCCTGTCGCCCAAGAGCATCATCTTCAGGGCTGCAAGTTCTGTTTTTTTGCACCCCAGAGCAGTTTTTCCTTTGTGGCTGAGTGCACCGTGCAAGTCACCAGGGATGAGGAAAGAAAGAGCCTGTCGGAGGGGCTCTTCAATTAGATGGACGATGAGTGATGAGCCTGTTCCAGGCGAGTGGAAGGGGACGGACAGAACAAAGGGCCCTTGGGAAGGCAGCAAGCGCCCGAGCCGATGCTGGGTTAAGGATAAACAGGGCTGTGTCAGAAATACCTTGCAAATGGATGACTGGCTCCTCAGGCGGTGCGAAGCAGCTGAGGAATTATTTACATGCACTGATTCACGTTTCCCGCAGTACAAAGTGGTTGCTAATCCACGTCTAAATTCCCTCGGCAGGATGACGTGGAAGAGAGCGCTGCAGAGAGCGGAGGCAGACTGGCATGCAAGAGCACCAGGCGGCTGCTCGCGGCTCGGTGCCTCAGTTTCCCCACAGGGCAATGGAGATTGGGGGAATTTGGCTCAAAGTAGACCCTTGCGATGCTCCCGCATCCACGTGGTAGATTCTTGTCCTGGCGCTGGGGGAAGAAGATGAGTCGGATGGATGAAGGAAGTCCTGGCTTTCATTAATTAGAGGAGAACACGAGCAGATTTGGGGATTGTCTCCCACGTTGCCCTGGGGAGTGTTTTTCTGTGGTCACATTCACCTGCTCTGTGGAAACACAGGGATTTTCTAGGTAGCCTCACGTCACAGCCCCGCTGAGCAGAACTGTGTCACGTAACACACCACAGAAGATCTGCCCCTCTGCAGAAGCTGCAGGCCTGCCTGGAAGACAGAGGGGTTTTGTCACGGCACAAACGAGGCCGCTGCCTCGTCCGTCCTGGGGCCATCGCTTGGTCTTGAACTCAGCCGGGAAGCCGAGCAGGGACCAAACCCTTCAGGAAAGGTTTCTCAGAACAGGTCTCCAGAATCACACGCCACCCTTTATCTCACACCATTTGTGGTGGAAAAGTTCCTCTCACGGAGACTTCAGTGAATGCTACAATTACCTGCGGAGAAACAACACGTCTGGCAATCTAACCAACTTAGAGCAGAAGGAAATAAAGGAAATAAACCACTGGATTTGCATTTTCTATATCTCCTGATGTTTTTATTGGCTGTGGATGCTACCAGTAAGAAATAATAGGTAGCATTTTGGAAATATTTAGACAAGCACCTTCCTTCAGCCTTTTGGCCTAAATGAGGTGCCTGGTTACCAAATACAGGCATCTTCCCAAGGATTTCAGTTCTGTGTTTGACATATCCGAGGGGCGCTTTCCTCCAGCACCACGGCACTAAAAATAGGCTGCAGAAAACATAACCAGCTCAATCCTTTGCTAGCTAAAGCATGAAGCAACAGACCCAACACAGGAGGGGCTTTCAGCTGAAGGTATTTTGTGTATTTTATTTTTATAACTGGTACTGTTAAAGCTTTTCTAATTTGCTTTCTGGGAGATGCAACATCCACACTGACACCAGCAAGTACCATTCCGGGCTGACTTGCACAGGACTGGCACGGTCTGTTAAATCCTCTGCCCTCAGCACAGGGGCCTTAAAGCTCTGAATGTTCAACACGCTGCCATACAGCAACCTTCTCCTGTGAGGAGGAGACAGGACAGCCAGGCACCTCTTTTCCATTTACTTTCTTTCTGCCAGTGAGTTTATTTTTAAACTGTTCCCTTAGAAACAGGCAGCTCAGCCCTCGCAGCGCTGCTGCTCTGCGTGCGGCGGGGCAGGAGCGCGCGGCTGCTCCGGGGGTCTCACTGCCCGCTCACATCACACGAGCGCGGCCCAGATCCGCACTGCTCCTTGGTGGCAGGCACGGAAGGAAGTCGTGGAGATGGTGATGGAGACGCAGCGAGGGAGGCAGCACACGAACTCCGTGGAGGAGCTGGCAGTTGTAGAGACGCCGGTGGCAGGGGCCGCGGGTCC